TACCCAAGGGATGAAACTTAACATTTTTAGCCCAGTCGCCTACTGGGCCCCTATGAACAGTGTTTAAAAAATTGATGGAGTGATCACTATAAGTAATCACTAATTAAGTCTTTATTTCAACGTGCATAATGAACATATCTTAATATTTTACAAATGTAACATTCAATTTCAGGTTAGCTTTTAAAATTATTTGAGTTAAGTTTAAAAAATAAAAAAATCTTTGAAAATGTTTGTTCTTTTTTTACTTTCACATTTAGCATGTTTATATAAATTGTTAATATACTGTATACAACTGTACAAGATGATGAAATAGTTGGGCCCTTGGATCAAGGTCTGGGCCCCCAAAAAAAAGTTATGTCATCTAGATCAGATGCAGAGGATTCAGAGTCAATCTCTGAATCTGAATCCTGTAGTGAATCAAATCCCTCTACGACCTCCAATGGCTCCAAGGTCTCCTGAATATTCTCTAGCACCTGAAGCGACTGTGTATAGGAAGATTGTTTTGTGTTGGCATTTGATGTTGGTCTTCTGGAGCGCACACAAGATTCATTCCAATGGTGGATTGCTTTAGTGGGATTGAAGTCTTTGATGTCAGGAGAAAGCATTTTAATAGCCAGACAGTGGTTTAGAGAAGTTTGTCCCAGTTTGCTGCGTATATTTGTTTTAACAAGCTTCAGTTGTGAAAATCCTCTCTCTGCCTCTGCACTAGAAGGTGACATGGTTAGGATAAGATCCATGACAGCCAAAATATTGGTGAGCTGCCCTTTGTAGCGAATATTAACAGAAAACCAGTCAGGGACTTTCCCACTTTGGAAGTCAGTATCGTGTATCTCCTTTTTTAGTATGATCCATTCCAGCTCACTTTCTACTAAGTCTACACTGGCAGTCCCCAGCACTGTCTTGAAGTGTTCAAGAATAATTCGAAGGTCTTCATCACCATGATCTTTAAGTGATTCCCAGTCATGTGGCCACATCTGGATATCTGCAATCTTCGTAGCTGATACAACACTCTGAGATAAAAACTCAGAAAATCTTTTTTCCAAAGCCTCTTCGATTTTCTTTATCAGATTACATCTGGCAGCACCAAATTCGTAAGCACTGCAGTTGGTGAGCTGTATTTCCTCAAAGGTTTCTTTTCCAGATACTTTACGCAGGTGTGGGCCATCACTTGTCTTGTATTTTCGTATAGCTTCCAATGTTGAGGCTATAGCTGAATGCTGCTTGGCAATCACACATGTCCTTTCCTGGAGTTGTAATGACAAACGGTGAAGGGGTGCCAGAGCATCCATCAAAAACAAGAGAAAACATACGACGTCTTTCGACTTCAGCAGCTTCATGAAAGCGTGTGCCTTGGATTTAGAGTCAGCAGAAACACGTTCTGTGGTCTCTGTCAGCTGGCCAAGATGTGCCATAATGTACTTGTAAGACGAGATGAGGTTGGTTAAGGCACGCATTGTATGTCCAATCCATCTTGTTCCACCTATTCTGGTTGGTATGAGAAAAGCACTATCATTGTTTTGTTTTAGAGCCTCATAGCTGCGTCGCAACATTGCTCGATTAAGACTGCTATTGTGATAAAAATAATACAGGCCCATGGCAACTGTATTGATAGCCTTGTCATACAGCTTCAAACTCTTTGATGCATCTTTTAAAGAAAGTTCTAGCCTATGGGCCATGCAGTGAAGGGTAACCAAACTTGGCTGATCTTTGCGCAGAAGGGCCCCTACGCCAGCCTTGCATCCCACCATCACACTTGCTCCATCACAAGCTACTGCTACCATTTTCTGCATAAATGCAGGCCATTCCATGTCAACATTTGTAATTACCAGATCCTGAAGGCCATTTACAATATTTACTGCATCTGCTTTGTCGGCAGATTTTACACCTATAAATTTGACATCTACTTGGCCTGCAGTCGACGTACGAACATACCACATTTCTTGTTCTTTAATGGCAGAATCAGTGCTGCCATCTCCGATAACACATATAAAACGCGATTTGTTAATAATGTGGTTGACTTCTTGAAAGTGCACTTCGGCAATAGCTTTGATAAACTCTTTGGCTGCAGGTGTGTTGTGGTATGTTTCTCCAAGTCGCAAGCCTTTCATCTCATCTAAGTCACACAACCAATTAAAATCTGACAGAGGTCGGTTGTTGCGTACCAGAGCATGGCAAGTGCGGAACATCTTTTCAAGTTTCTCAAAAATGTCTGCATTTAGTGTCTGTATGATCTTGGCAGCCTGAGATTCTGTTCGAGGTTGTGTTTTAGCATTGGCAAAAAGGACAGCCTTTTCGTGTTGTTTGGATCTTTCATGCTTTACTAAACTGTCAAGTTTATAGCTCTGACAGCCAACTGCAAATAGTGTTGTCGTGTCCCCATGATCTTTACACGCAGTACAGATCATACCATTCTCCGTGTCTTTCAACCATGGCCTGCTTTTCTCCCAAGTAATGCAGTAGTGTCTTACTCGTTTGTTTGTCTCATACTCCTGCTGGTACTCCCTTTTCTTCTCCTGTGTTTGTCCTCCTTTCTCATTAGGGTTTGATGCCCCAGCAATATACCTCCACATAATTTTAGTATGGTTTTACACACTACAAATTAACCTACCGCTAGCAGATTTTATGTTTTAATAAGCAAACCTTAAGTATTTAATTGATGAAATTTAAATTATAAACTTTTATTTAAATTATTAACTCTTATACTAGTAACTACGTCTGTTTTATTCAACAAGAATTTACTGTAAATCGCCGGAATTATTGCTAGGAATGTGTAGCGTCTGGTTGCTATGCAAAAGCGCCATTTATTATGTAGATGGGTTTTTGGTCAACTGTAATCGAGTACACGAGGCCATTACAGTTAATCGGGAAATCATCTAGCAAGTTAGCTATATAGACTGGGTTTTGGTTGACTGTGTTTCACTGAGAAAGGCTATCGCAATAGACCTGTGACTCATCTAGCCGCTATGCTTCCATGCAGCAGCATATACTGACACCACTCCGATATGGCAACGTTATTTTGTAGGACTAAAAGTGAATGGAATGAAACTAGCAGCAGTCAATGGCTCATAGAATTTTAATGGCTACTCTGTTAAAAGCGTGTAATTACTGGCATATTTTATCTTTACAGTTACAGCATTGCTGTCATTTATTGTGCAAGTAAAGTGTGCATATTATTTCAGCAAAAAATCCAATGTGGTGGAAACAGTTCACTTTTTTGTTTATGAGACTAAAATGGATAGTGTGGCTATAGCTTGATTCGCCACCTGGGCGAATAATTAGAGGTTTTTAGGGGCCCAGGTTAAAATCTAGGAGCCACGGGCGACTGGGCGCCTGCTAATTTTCATCCCTGCTGTGTGAATCACTCAGGGGCTCCTCCAAAGAAAAGAATAGGCTCGCGTTGTAACCCTACGCTTGTTGGGTTACATTATTGTATCTAGGTTACAACGCGAGCTTTTTTTTTTTCTTTGGAGGAGCCCCTGAGGCTGAGTAGTAGTGTTGTCAATCGGTTGTAATTTCGTAATCGATCATCGGTTGGACCCAAGTAACCGATGATCGGTTACAATCGGTTACTCGGGGTGTTGAATGCCTGCCTGTGCGTAACGTCGTGCGCATGTACGTGTGTGATAACCCGACCAGGCTGTGTGACTGACGTCAATATACAGGTATTCTAACCCTAGCAACCCATGCTCGGTATTCTAACCCTTCCTTTAGTTTCTTGGAGCTACGTGTGTGCATGTATGTGGTTGTTTAGCCCTGTTTACTGTTTGTTTTGCACTGTTTACTACTGTGTGTATAATACATGTATGTTAATAAAAGATAACTTGTATAGTAGCAATGATATCTCTGATTCTCATCACTTTTCCAAGTTTTCTTGTTCAAATTTTAAAAAAAGAAAAAAGATAACCAAGCGCTTGGTTCGAACCACTGTTCAATCGATGATCGAGTATAATCGATGATCGTGACATCACTACTGAGTACCATCCAGTATGATGTATCAACGTTTGTTGAGGTAATTGACTGCGGAAACCACGTAATATAAGTGCATAAATGACGCGCGGAAATACGAAGAGAAATGTGAAGGCCGTAGCAGACAGATTGTAACTTGTAAGTGAAATCGCGTGAAATACGCGAGCGTTGAAATCGTGAGAAAGTCAAAACCCCGGGGGGTCACTATATATGCCGTTATTACCCCATGTGCGTTCCAAATTTTGCGAGTTAGGGGGGTGTTTTTCAACTTCTAAAGCGGGCCCGCGCGGGAGCAAATAGGCCCCCCTTTACAAAGCGAATCCCACAATAAGCCGTTGGGATCGTTCAAGTCAAGCACCGCGCCCGCAGTAAGCCCCCCTCATGACGAACCACATAGTACCCCGCCCCAGGCCCCGAACGGGCGACCCCGTAGCACACGAAAGTTGCAAGTAGTCTTCTTTGAGTTGATCACAAGTATTCCCTCCACTCTTTGCCCTCCACTTGTCTGCAAGACCTCGCAATAGGGGGTAGGCCCCCGGGTAGGACTCTTTCATTGTGTATGCAATAGGGGGTGGGATATTTTCATTGTGTATGCAATAGGGGGTGGTATTCTTCAATTGTGTCTGCTGTTATTTTTAGTGAGAATGTACATGGGGTAATGTTCTAATAGAGAGTGACACCCCCGGGGTCAAAACAAGGTGAGCACCCTCGGTTAAAAGACGTTTTGTCCCGCCTTTCTGACAACAAATGACAGATTTCTTGCTAGAAATTATTAGTCAGCACCCTCAACAACACCCCTCTCGATTTTAAAGGATCTACCCTCACATTTACGAAAATGACATAGGTCTCAATCTCGCCATGCTCTCTATCCTTGAACCGACCGGGCTACGGCCTACGGCTACGCTACGGTAAGTGTTATTGAACGCTGGTAAAGCTCGCCAGCTAAAGCAAAATGTGTGAAATATCAGGTTAATAACACATCAATACCTAATATTATTCGACAATTAATAACATAGACATTACATAGATAGTAATTAATGTGGTATTTATAAACTTTCGCGTGACAAACACCAAACTCACCTATTTGAGTCGCCAGATCGTCATAGCAATGAATTAGCGACCTCTGTTAGTAATACGCGAGAAACGTGACGAAATTGGACCAATGAGAAATGATTTCAATATTCTCGCTGTATTCGGCGGAGTCAAGAAGGCTCATCACCTTATATAAGTTATAACGATTGAAGTAATGCATTCAGATAGTTATTGATCACTTCACATGTTCACCGAGTAAATGTTCGCTATTTTAAATGCATAATTACGACAAATTTATATTACTTATGGCGTACACTAAATGAAGGTGTCCTCTGGACTACACACTGATGCACTTCTACTTCGCTACCAATACATGTCCATGTTGCGATTTAGGGAGATCATCATCTCCACATTGCTAGGACTCAGCCGTGCACGTTTCTTGTTCACGAGGTTGTTCACGTTTCTTGTTTCTTGCTCTACTTGTCATATCAATTCACACATCGTGAGTACAGTTCCTTGTTTGTTTGTTTTGCTATTTCCGATAATCAATTATTTGTTTTCATAATCGATTATCGAATTTGAGACTATAATCGATCGATTTTCGATTATAATCGATCATCGGGACATCACTACTAATTAGTATCACAACATGTCACTAGTAACAGTAGTAAAACAGGTAGTGGTACTAGTGTATGTATACTGTTTACACACTGGCCGGGGTACCTACTAGGGTTGGAGATCGGTCCAAATTTCATGATCGATCATCGGTTTTACAAAACGACCGATGATCGATTAATCATCGATCATTTTAGATTGCGGCAACAACGCGGTGACGCCGCGTCATCGTCGACACAACCGATGTATTGTGAAGGAATATTGACATTATTGTATGTGTAGCTAGTATTTAATGGTCAGTAAATTAAGGTTACCGTTAGGATTACGGACGGGTAACACTCTAAAGGGCATTGCAACATAACTGCTCATCAAATTCAATCAAACTCAAATCCATTACATAAGAGAGATGTCTCTCTATGCTATCAATAAAAAAATTTTATTAAAAATTCATCGCTAATTAAAGTGATTACGTCACGAATTTCTAGCACCATCAAGTAGTATATTTGTGTGTTATTTGTACAAAATAAAATGTATGAAAATACAATTAGTGTTTCTGTTTACTTTTCATGCTTATATACCTTCTTTATATGCCCTAATTTGCCGGTGAAAAACAGAGAGACGCCAGTATCTGAACAGTACTGGGGGAATAGTGTTAGGCAACAGAAATTACCAAATCGTCTAGATTTTTGCAAATTTAACCAACGTAAAAATATTTTTATCAGGTGAGAGTTTGAGGATATATTTAGTAACGTTAGTTCTTACTTTTAATGTAAAAAAATGTAATTTTTTTTTACAAATTTTACCATGGAAAATTCGTGACGTAGTCAATTTAAGTGACGGCAAAAATTGCGAATTTGTACAAAATGTTTTTTTTTGTTATTTCTCAGAAACAGCAGAGTTGGGACCTAAACATTTAACCATAAGTTGTTCATAATATACACAAAAAGTGGGTCCCTGGAATTTTTTTTTAATGCTTTAATTTAGGAAATAAGTTGAAAAGATGTAGGAAAATTTAGGATTAGGCTGATTTTCAGGAGAACAAAGTCGCCTTAGTTCCTTGAAATTTACACGCACCGTCGTTTCTAGTTATATATGTGTAAATGTATTACTTGTGTCAAATCTGAATTTTATTAAAAAAAGAAAAAAATTCGAGCTTGTTATCCGCGTCCGTTTTCTACTCGACTTAAAACTCACAGCCCAACCCGAACTCGATCAGAACAACTAGTACCTAACATATAAACCTTTAAATGTTAGGATAGCTTTATATATTCGGAGTGGCTGAAGGTCGCGTAGATATACGGAATATGTTAACCCAACAAGAGTAGGGTTACACCTAGATACATAATGTAAGACAACAAGAGGTAGGGTTCAACACGCAGCTATTCTTTTCTTGGAGACCCTGTGATTCACTCAGGTGCGGTTTTCATTGGGTGCGTTTTCACAGACTAGAACATCAAGACTGGTTTATTCTAAACACGAACTTTCTTCCGACTATCCTGGGGACTACTATGTATCAAAATACTCGTATTAAACTAATATAACTTGTTACAAATTTTGAAGTGACGAGCGCGGCGATATTCGAGCGCTATTTCTGTTGACCTGTGACGCTCGCATTTCCCAATGACGCCATAAGCATTCGCTACCTTCGCCTTCGCTTCCTGTGTAGGCACATGGCTCGGCTTGGGGATGTCATGACGTTGACGCAGGCCATCCATAAGGCATTTGATCTTGGAGCCGCCCCCCCCCCCGCCCAAGTTCGCGAACGCTATACGCATTGGACGAATGCATATCTCACATGTCAAGACAGAAATGCACTCGAAATCTCGCCTGTCGTGTCATTCGAAATTTTGTAACAGGTTATATAAAGTTTATCCGAGTTGGTGATTAATAGTACAGTCCAGGATAGCGAGATAGGTTTCTGTTTAGAATAAACAAGTTGGAAAGTTTTAAGTCTCGAAAACGACATAAAAACGCCCGATGATGCTGAACTACTCAGCCGGGCTCCTCAATGAAAATAGGGCTCGCATTGATACCCTCTCTTGTTGGGTTACATTATTGTATCAGGTTACAAGCGGAGCTTTTTTTTTTTCTTTGGAGGGCCCCTAGGCCTGGGGAGTTAGTAGTGAGTCCATCCAGTATGATGTATCAACGTTTGTTGAGGTAATTGACATGCGGAACACCCGATATGATAGTAGCATAAATGCACCGCGCGGAAATCGAGATAATAGTGAAGGCGTAGCAGACACGGATTGTAGACTTTGGTAAGTGAATGCGTGAAATACGCGAGCGTATGAAATTCGTAGAGAAAGTCACAACCCGGGGGTCATTATATGCGTTATTAGCCCATGTGCGTTCAAATTTTGCGAGTTAGGGGAGGTTTTTCTTCAACTTCTATAAGCGGCCGTCGCGGAAAGCAAATAGGCCCCTTTACAAAGCCGAATCCACACATAAGCCCGGTTGGGATCGTTCGAAGTCAGCCACCGCGCCCGCAGTAACCCCCCCTTCATTGCGACAACGACAGGTACCCGCCAGCCGGGCCCGAACGGGCGACCCGTAGCCACACGAAGTTGCAAGTGTCTTCTTTTGACGTTTGCACACATAGTATTCCCTCCCTCTTTGCCCTCCACTTGTCTGAAAGACCTTCGCAATAAGGGGTAGGCCCCCGGGTAGGACTCTTTCATTTGTGTAATGGCAATAAGGGGTGGGATATTTCTTGTGTATGGCAATAGGGGGTGGTATTCCTTCAGATTGTGTCCTGCATTAGGGGTAGGTATTCCATATGTGCGTCACGAGGACGGGCCTATTATTTTTAGTGAGAATGTACATGGGTAATGTCTAATAGAGGTGACCCCGACCCCGGTCGTGGTGCAAAACAGGTGACCCCGATTAAAGACGTTTTCTTGTGTCCCGCCTTTCGTTGACAACAATTGAAGATTCTTCTAGAATTATTTAGTCTCAAGCACCCTCAAAACACCCTCTCGATTTAAAGGATCTACCCTCACATTTAGAAAATACATAGGTTAATTCGCATGCTCTCTATCCTTGAACCGACGGCTATCGGCCACGCCTAGGTAGTGTTATTGAACGCTCGTAAAGTCGCCAGCGAAGCAAAATGTCGTGAATGTAGAATTTAATAGGAGATCAATGAACCTAATATTATTCGCAATAATAACATAGATTTAAATAGTAGCTCAATTAATGTGGGTATTTATAGAGGTGTCTTTTTCGTTTGTGACAGGACACCAAACTCACATATGTTGAGTCGCAGAATCGTCATAGCAATGACATAGCGACCTTGTTAGTAATACTGCTCGGAGAAAAGTGACAAATATGACCAATGAGAAAATGATTTTCATATTCTCGCTGTATTCGGCGGAGTCAAGAAGGTATCACTTATATAAGTTATAACGATTGAGGAGTAAATGCATTCAGATAGTTTATTGATCAATTCACTGATTCACGCAGTAAATGTTCGCTATTTTAATGATATTACAGACAAGTTTATGATACCTATATGGCACGCTTACATAGATTCCCACGACGATTTCACCTATGCTACACGAAGGGTACTCAGTATGGCTGTGAATGATTTCTATAATAACGTACTTTTTATTGAAAATATAGATATTCTTCATATCAAGCTACGCAGATATGTGCGTCTTTGTCTTTAAGTTTATGGTCTCACAAATATTTTTTTGTGCGGATACTGACGCGCGTAACACAGCAAACCAATATGCTTAGCTTTATTAAAATTAAGGCATGCATTTTTTTCAAATCAAACTACTCCGTCAATATATAGGTATAATGTATAGTGATATATGTATATGTATTGTATATATGTATGTATGTATGTATGTCTTTATACTTTAAATGTATAATCTCAGGAAAATAATTTCTTGCTGATAATCCCATAACACTGCATGTAGCCCTTCATACCACGAACATGATATAGTGTACGGCGTTGTAGACATTTTAAATATTGCATTTCAATGTATTTTCAGATTATTCCGCCAGGAGCAAAGCCAGAGGGATGTCACTTAGTATTATTAGTTACCCCTTTTACCATTTTTCAGCGAGAAATTAATATGCCTGGAATGGTCAATTGGATACCAACTAGTGGCAGCACATTGTTTTGTATAGCCTATTCCTGCTTATAGTTTACAACGGTCTACTGCAAATCTGCAAATACGTTCACGCATAGTGCATTACACAACGGATCACCCTTTTACCCCGTTTTAGACACTCGGGTATTCCTTGTTCATTAGAACGTTTCATTTCCGTTTTGCTTTGAAAATAATTATTCGTAGACCAGATCGTCTCGAATGCGCGGATTACCGGCTTATAATCTCCATAGAAATAATGACAGTAGTTAATTAGACTCTATACTTTGCTATGCATTATGTCTTGTAGTATTGCCGTAATTCTTTGCTGTAAATGCGCTTGATCTAGCTAACGTTAGTATT